TTAAGGTCCCTCCCAACACAAACCAGTCTGGGATTCTCTGGTCTCCAGCCCCTCCAGCACTCACTTCATCAGGCGCTTGGCCCCGTAGCAGCGCAGGTCATAGGACATGCTGTAGGTGCCATAGAGCGTGGCTTTGACATTGAGACATCCCAGGTCCCGTGGGTTGGTCTTGTAGAGATCGAAGGTGACACAGGCGACATCAATCCTCCGAGGAGGCTTGCGGGACAGGCTCAGCTGGTAGCCAGGTGTCTAGGGGACAGTGGGATCAGGGTCACCCACCCTGGTCACACCTCATCCAGCATCACCTCCCCACTGATCCCAGCGTGGGATGGAGATGAGACAAACCCAGCTGGTGCCACCCACCTTGGAGGCAGCCCAGGTCTGTCCCTTGCTCAGGGCCATCAGCACCGTCCCCTCCTCCAACGTCCGGAAGAAAGCTTCTGTCTCCACTGCGGTGCCATCTTCATCCAGCACCAAGGAGATGGGACCCGGGGCGAGCAGGGCGCTCTGAGCCTGCAAGAGGACCCATGGATGAGCAGATGGGTGGATGGACAATCCCCCAGCAGACAGACAGACAGCTGGACAGCCCCAGCTCACCTGGCGCAGCAGGTCGCCCAGGCTCTGTGCCATGATGCCCTTGCGCAGGCTGCGGTCCCAGTTGCAGACGCGGTAGGGACGGGGACGGGGGGTCGGGCTCGACAGCAGCTGCTGGGTCATGGAGGCACTTGCTGAGACACATCTAGGGAGGGATGGAGGTGGTCTGAGACCCACTGGCAACTCCCCCTCCAGGTCTCACCCACTCAGGGGGTTGAGAGGTGCTGAAGTAAGGAGCGCTCTGGTGTCCCCACCCCAAGGATGGTGGTGGCTTCCCAGCACTTACTTGGAGACAGGGGCAGCCAGACGCAGGCTGAGGGACTTGGCGTAATCCATCCTCACCAGGAGCACGGTCCAGCCTGCCAGGGAGAAAAGATTCAGCCCTGGGTGTAAGGGTGATATCTCCAGCTCTTCTCCACCCTCTTCCCTTCCCACCAGCACCTCCTCTGCTCAGCTCCACGGCTGCCTCTCCTCAGGGGCTGTGTTTGCCCTTTGGCCGGGGCCAGGTTGGTGGTGGTGGTGGCCACCCGGGCAGAGTCTGGCTGCCAGCGTGGCTCTTGCGTAAAGCAGCACATGGGACCCTGAGTCAGCGCTTGAGCAAGGGTGAGACTCCAGCACAGGGTGAGACACCAGCACAGGGATGCACCCTCACCCCAGCCCCTCAGTGGGGCAATGAGGGCTCTGGGGGTCAGGGGCACCCATGGTGGAAACCCCAACTCTGTTGCTCCAGGGACATCTCCAGCCTGGAGCCCACTGGGGGTGGGTCCTGTGGAGGGTCCTCATCCCGGAGGGTCCTCATCCTCATCCCCATCTCCATCTCCATCTCCATTCAGAGCAGATAAAAGGAAGAAGCTTTTTACATTGAGGGTGGTGGAGCACTGGCACAGGTTGCCCAGAGAGGGGCTAGATGTCCCATAGAATCATACAACCAGAGAATGGTTTGGGTTGGAAGGGACC